CTCACCTCAGAGTGGGCCCAGTGGTATACAGGGCCAGAGAGAGAAGGTGACAAAGCTCCCGGCAGGTGGAAAGTTCTAGACCTGTGGTGCTGGCAGCTTCACTGGAGGAATCTGCTCTACGCCTGGGGGGCCATTTCCAGGAGGGACCTGGAAGGGCAGACCCTGTCGGACCCCTAGTGTTGGAGGGCGCAGGCCCAGCCTCGAGAGCCTGTGGGGTAGTGACCTGGTGCCTGCCCAGGGGTCACTCTGTGCGAGGCCCCCACTGGTCTCGCTGGGAGGTTGAGGGCTAGGCTGGGAGGGCTGCCTTCCCCTCTGGCCCTGGGTCTCTGAGGGTAGTGCCAAGCTTTGGACGCCGGGCATGAGTGCAGCCACGTCACCTCCCACCAGAGCCGCCACACTGGGTTGCCGATGAGACCAGTGGCCTGCTGGAGCGAGTGGCCGGAGAGAACGCCAGCCTGCCGTGCCCAGCCAGAGGTGAGGCCAGGCCTGGGTGGGCGGGGAGGCCGGGGTGGGCTGGCTGGGCGCCTGTGCCCGGGGCACACGGCAGGTAGCACCTGTCAACTCCGTAGGATGATGTTAGCATCTGCCCCTTGGCATTAGTTCATGGTCCTGGTCCAGAGAGGGTGAGCAAGTGTGGTCCTGAGGTCACACAGCCAGGACTCGACTCACAGTGTGGCCGCTGGACCCTGGCTCTGCCTGCTCCCTAAGCCCTGTCCCCTCTGTACCTGGGGAATGACAGTTGGGGCTGAGGGGAGCCCACAGGTCCTGTGGATTCATCTTGGTGACTTGGGAACTCACGTCCCAGCTTTCTCACGAGGATGAATTCCCACGGCCTGGGGCCAGCAGCGTAGCGAGGCCCAGACAGCAGCCCCTGTGGCCAGCTGCCCGAGCCAAGCCTGCTCCGCCTGCTGGGCTCTCCCAGGGCAGCTCAGTCTCCTTTCTGAGCCTCAGTCCCTCATCTGTACATCGGTCCTTCTCATGGAGCCCTGGGAGGTCTCAGGGGGCCCCTGAGCCCTAGGTGTCTGCACTGGACCTGGCATTTAGAAGGGGAATGTGCCAGGTGCTTATGTCCCCGCCAGGTGGCCACTCTGCTCTCTGGGCCCCGCCTGCCCACGTTGCTCCTTTGTCTTTGAGAGAGTGCCCCTGGCTCTCCCCAGGGCCAGCTGTCCACTGTGGGGCCCCTGCTCTCTGGCTGTCGGCAGCCGGGGGGGCAGCTCAGAGCAGCCCGCAGGAGCCTGGGGAGCAGCCTGTTCTCAGCTGCTGCCTGGAGCAGGGCGCGACAGAGGAGGGCAGGAGGGCTTGGCTACCTGGGCGTGGCAGACACCTGGGCGAGGCAGACACCTGGGCAGGGCAGACACCTGGGGGCTCCCTGGCACAGCCCTCCTGAGGGCCCTGCCAGCCTTGGCCATGGCGCCACCTTGTGCTGGGCCTGGCAACAGCGAGCAGCTGGTCAGGAAAGGGGAGGGCGTTGGCACCCCCTGGGCGCCCCACGTGGTGGGCTGCTGTCCTCCCCCACGTTTGTCTCTGGGTTGTGGGGGGTCCGTCTTCTGGGCCAGACTTCAGCTGGTCGGCCCCTCTCCAGCTGCCCCCAACTGCCGCCTTCAGAGGGCACCTGTGGGGGACAGTGCCCGGCTCTGGCTCAGCCACCCTGGGCCTTGAGGGCCAAGGGGAGAGCACTGTGCCCAGTGCCCAGCACGTGTCAGCACTGCCTCCCCCAGGGGGGACCGGAGGGCCGCGACCCCAGCCCCCTTGTTAGCAACTGGGTTCTCCTCTGCGTGGGGAGCTGGTGTCCAGCGCTGGAATCTTCACTGGGCACAGGGCCGTCCTGCTCTGGTGCCCGTGAGCTCTGTGCATTAAAAAGTCCAGGGCTGCAGGCCTGTGGCCCCCGCAGGCCGAGCTCTGAGGGTCAGGTCCTCAGGGGCGGGACAGGGAGAGTCTCTGGGAGAAGCTGCAGGCACTGAGAGGGACATGTGTGCACCCGGGGTACGTGGCGTCTGTGGTCTGTGGCGGTACCTGCCTGTGTCCCCACACTGGCCCCTGGACGGACATCCCAGCCTGCACCCTGGGTGGAGGGCTCCAGAAGAAAACTGGCACAGAGATCAAGTGGCTGGTCCAGGGACACGTGGAGGGATGCACCTGGACACAGGTCCTGGGCCCTCGTCCTGCACGTCCAGCAGGAAGTCCCCAGCATGTGTGGGCAGTGGGCAGTCAGTGTGGGCTGGAGGGGGCAGGGGACCTCCTGAAAGAAGGCGCTTAGGATATCTTCCGTGGCCCACGTCCCCTGACCCCATGCTCCCCATTCCCTCCACGGCCCCTTTGTCCCTGGGGAAGGACGAGGGAGCGTCTACCCAGGGTGCCCAGCTGCCGGGGGAGTGACCGACACAGGATGGGGTGTCCTTAGTGGCCGTGGGTATTGGCAGTTCTCATCTCCAGGACCAGCAGTGGTGGCAGAGCGCGTGGCCGTCGGGCTGTGGGTGCTGGCCTGCTGGGGAGGGCCCTCCGCCCGCCTCGGCACCGAGGGGGCCCAGGGTGTGCGCTGCTGGCCGGTGCTCAGCTCAGCGCAGCGGTGCTCTGCTGGGCCCGCTGGGCAGCGCCACCTTGGGGGTGTGCCCTGCTCATCAGCGCCCACTTGAGGACCTGCTCCGTGGCAGGCCCTGCCCCATGCTAAGTGACAGTGACACTCACTGTGGCAAAGACAGTCATTAGCCCACATGCAAGTCTGTGACGGTGATGGTGGTGTTAGGCACGCGGCCAGCAAATGGCCAGCCCCAGGCTCAGCCTCGGAGGGGAGAGCAAGAGGGACAGAGCTGTCCCCTCCCACTGCCCTGTTTCTCATGCCCTGACCAGATGGTTTGAGGCCTGCCAGCAAGCTGTGCATTGACTTGACACTTACTGTGTGCCAGGCACTGTGATAACGGCTGGGGGTTCAGCACAGAGATGCTGCCCTGTGTGGGGCAGGTCACAGGACGAGGACCTCAACAGCATGTGCCTCTGTAGCAAGTTAGCCCATGATGGGCTAAAGGGCTGGGCAGGGTGGTCGGAGGGTGTGGGTGACGTCCTCCACGAGGTGGCCAGGTATGGCCTCCCTGGGAAGGAAGCAGAGAACAGGCCCGTGTCCCACACCCGTGGGCCCTGGGAGCCTGGGGGCGGGCGGGCAGCCCTGGGCGGGTAGGGCTGTGGGCACCTGTGGCTCTGACCTGCCCCGCCCACCTGGGACCATCTGCCAGAGGGCCAGCGACATGAGCACCAGGGGCGGCGGGTACGTCCATGCTGACCACGGCACGCCCTGCCAGGGACGCCCCAGCCGCAGGTCACATGGCGGAAGGGCCCATCCGCAGAGCCCCTGCCGGGCCGGCCAGGTGTGGCAGTGCTGGAGGAAGGGTCCCTGTTCCTGTCCTCGGTCTCGCCCTCGGACAGTGGGGAGTACGAGTGCCAAGCCACAAACGAGGCGGGCTCCGCGTCCAGGAGAGCCAGGCTGGTGGTCTACGGTAAGAGGGACGCTAGGGCGGGGCCAGGTGACATAGCAGTAGGGTCCCAGCAACAGGCTTGTACCCACCTGGCAGAGGCCACAGGTCCCTGGCACTGAGGGCCAGGACTAGAGGGCAGTGCACCCGCTTTCCCAGAGACACCCGAGGCAGCGGAGGAGGGCACCCAGGATTCTCTGGGTGGCCCCACGGGCATGTCCATGTTGAAGTGAGTGTGACAGCCTGTAGCCCACAGCCCACCCTGCAGCACACAGCCCACCCTGCAGCACAGCTGTTAGAACTGCCCCCAGGCCCCTGTCCCTGTCACCAGCAGGGAGAGCCCCGACTCCTGCGCCCAGGGTGATGGGTAGCAGGGCACCGTGAGGCTGGGCTGGGGCTCCCCCTGCTGACCAGCCGAATGTGAGCCTCAGGTCAGTCTCACCACGCCTGTGGCCACCTGTGCGTCCCCATGACCAGCCCTCCTCTCACCACGTGGTGACTTGCTTAGGAAATGTGCTACAAAGACACGCCCAGGCCTGTCCTGAGATTCCGACTCGGGGAGGGAGGAGTGGGGACCAGGTCGGGGTCCATCAGATGCATGGGGCTCCCACACCTTGCAGCAGGCTGAGCGTCCCGGGGCCCAGACAGGACTATGCAGTCCCCGGGCAAGGCTGCAGCAGGCTTCTGCTGGGGCAGAAGGTGACAGGCAGACCTCTGGGACCCCAGTGACGGCCTGAATGATAGGCCCCGGGGATCTTGGGGCGGGGAGGGAGTCTGGGCTTCCTGTCCAGGCCACAAGGATGGGCTGGGACATCCCCGTGGCTCGAGGAGCTGGGGACAGCCCTCTCCTTCTTGCTTCCCAAGTGCCCCCCAGCATCCGAGAGGATGGGCACAAGGCCAACGTGTCGGGCATGGCCGGGCAGGCTCTGACGCTGAAGTGTGACGCAAATGGCTTTCCAGCCCCTGAGATCACGTGGCTCAAGGATGGGCAGCTGGTGGGTGTCCCCTGGGATGGGTGAGTGGCAGAGGGATTGGTGTGGGGGAGAGGTGACAGGGGTCTTTGGGGATGCAGCAGGGTTTGGGGCAGTGGAGCACTGCGGTCCTGTGAAGGCGCCTAGTGGGAGTGCCCAGCTGCCCAGCC